GCTGTTTATAGTATCCTTGACTGACAGTTTTTATCTTAGAATATCTTGAACATGCTGTTACATTATTTCCTGGCAGGCCCGAAAAGACTAATGAATGTCTGATAATAGGAGTACCTTAATAAATTGCATCCTCCCCACTCCTTCAACATTCATCTGTTGTTTTGAAATTTATAGAGTGATATATAACTAATGCGATTTCTTTGAATTTAGATAGCCAGTCTTAAGGTCTTGTATTCAGCCCCTTTCCCAGGTTTGGGATGTTTGCTGCTATTATTTCTTTGAATAAGCTATTTACTCCTTTCTTTCTATATGTTCTTCCCAGGTTATCCATTAACTTATATTGTCTTTTTTAATGGTTTCTTAAAATATCTTTCTCAAAGTTTCTTAATGTTTTTTTAACTGTCTTATGTCTATCTCTTCTTCTACCTGTGTTATTCATAGGTAGCTGTATCAGAACTAACCAATCACAGATATTGTTTACTTTATCCCTTTCTATAGAACTTTTACTCTCCTTCACTGAGTTCTATGTATTCTGAACCTTCAGTTTCTAGATGCTAATTGTTGGATTCGTTTCTAAGCTCATTAATTTATTGTTTTAAGTTCTGGTAATGTTTTCTACTGGCTTTTCTGAATGTTTTCCTACTTCTCTGATTTTCTTCATTATAGTACTTTTAATCTACTTAATAGGAAGAGTTACAACCTTCCACTTTTTTTGAGGTTGTACTTCGGAGAATTGTTTTCTTCCTTTAGCTTAAGGAGTGCCTTAATAAATTGCATCCTCCCCACTCCTTCAACATTCATCTGTTGTTTTGAAATTTATAGAGTGATATATAACTAATGCGATTTCTTTGAATTTAGATAGCCAGTCTTAAGGTCTTGTATTCAGACCCTTTCCCAGGTTAGGGATGTTTGTTGGATTTCTATATTTCCATGAAGGTTGCCATATACTTGATTCTTTATTTGACTTTTGTTTAACTCTCTTTGAATACTTTCCCCCTCCCTCCCTTCTTCCTTTTATTCGGAACATGAATTGAATTACTGTTAATTTTTAAATGGGTAGTCTGTCACTTTTTTATTTCCACTACTGGTTTCTCTAGGTACTGAATAATGCTTATATTTGCAGTTTTTCTAGCAGTAGGATAGGAAATCAGTCCAGTTTCTATTGCGAACAAAGTGGTAGGAGGAACATAGTTGTTTTGTTTTATTTTTTTTTTCAATTGAATCACCTTGAGAAACATGTTTTATAGTATCACAAATATACTTTCTCTCTGGATTCCCAGAGCAGAGACTGCATAGGCGTTTTGCTGTCCTTGCACTTCATAAGGTCGGTATCTATTTCAGTGAGTGGGATAACACGACTGTAGTCTAGAGTAATTTTTCTCAACAAGGGGAAACATGCTCTTCCTTTGCGTCCTCAGGATATTGCAAAGGGGAACACAGTAAAAGTTGTGTAAATAAGGGGCCATGGCAGAAAACTAGGGAGCAGCTGACAGAACAGTGAGCCACAGGAAGGAAACAAGAATAGAAAATGGGGGAACGTAGTTTGAAAAGGGTTGAGAAACATTGGTCTAGAGAGATTTATCTTTTATGATCCATCTCCTCAGTATGGGCTCAAGCTAGGTTAGGGAATGTGTGTTTATATCTTTTCTTCTTTGCCCCATTCATGGTCCTCTGACTGACTTAGTAGCTCTTTCTGTGACTCCTACTCCAGAACACAGCCTTCAAACATTTCTCTCAACTCACTGACTACCCATTTGAAGAATAAATCCCCTGTTACATACTTTATTTCGCAGTCTGTATTGGTCTCTGAGGTACAGTACATAGTTCTTCTCACTGTCATGTGTGGGATTCTGTTCTGTACTTCTGATTGTTAGTTGTTTCTCTTGGGTACAAAGCTAGGGGCCTTTTGTATTACCATCTTGGTCAGTAACGTAACTGTTCTAGTTGTAATAAATTTTTTTATCAATTGGGAAATATAAATATGACAAGGTATCAGGTTTCCCAGACTAATCTCTCAAATCAGTATAATTGCCTGAAAACAGAAAGTGATTTTACAGAACATGTAAATCATGAAGATCTAAAGCTCGAGCTTCTGAAGTATATTGAAGACAGCAAATGAGGAAAAGGGAATTTACCCATGAAATGTGAAAACTGTATATAACCGGGCAAAACAGTACAGAGAGACAGACAAGTTAGGCCTAGTTGAAAATCCAGAAACACCTTGGGGCACAGTTGAGATATTAATTGATGTACCCCTACAAGTAGAGGGGAATTATCTTTTAATTAAATGTTGTTAGACCAATTGATTACAGCTTGGAAATAATTATGTTATTTAAATATTCTAATAAGAATATTTATGAATGTTTACTACTTCCATACTAAAACCAAAAATACTAGGTTTAAAGATGTTTTAGAAGAAAAGAAAAAAAGCTCATACTTTTGATCAGATTCTTTTTTTAAAAAGTACAAAAATTCCCAAACATAAAGTTAAAATTTTATAAATGTGACTTTTTTTGAGATAGTTTTCCGCAAAACCCGTTATTCATCGATTTGCTCGAGTGGGCTCCAGTAACGTCTCCATTCATCCCTGTCACATGCTAGTGTAGCTCAATGGCGTCTGCTCGTTCTAGGAACACGAAGACCCTCAAACTGATCATTCAGGGTCTTGACGAAGAAGTCTGACCATCTCATAGGTGGGCGGCCACGTGGTCTTTTGACGTCCTGTGGAATCCAGTCAGTAACGGCTCTAGTCCAGCAGTCGTCTCCAAATCTCATTACGTGTCCAGCCCATCTGATTTTTTACTCCTTGGCAAACGAGACAGCATCCCTGATTCTTGACCATTGATGGAGGTCAGAACTCCAGATTCTTTCTCTCATTTGAGGAAGCGTGATACTCCAAGAATAGCTCTTTCGATTCCTCTTTGGGAGACCTAAATAGCGGTCTCATCCTGTTTTCAAGTAAATACAAAACCATAACATTTCAGAGAAATATGAACCAGTAAAAAGATAACCCTACATATTGGGGAAGGCATTTGCAATAACATAACGGAGAAATTGCAGACAGGATGTATAAAAATATATAAATGAGGGAGAAAATGGCAATATAGCAATAAAAACAATTTATTTTACCCAGTTGATAAGACCTGAACACTTACAAAAATTGCCAATTCACAAGGATAGGAAAATGCATTTTTAGGAAGGCATATCTAAAGTTTAAAATATACCAAGTATCTGTGAGGATGTGAACAGTCAGAAACTTTTCCGCAGCACTGAACAATAGAAAATACTTTATGTATTGAGACTAAAATTTGTCAGTGTATAATAAAACTGGCAATGTTTGCATTCCTTGAGTGAGCAATTGTATTTCAGGTATACATTGCAAAGAAGCATAAGGAGAAATATGAAATTGAACTTTGAAGAACTATTCATAATATCTAAAATTATAAACATAGATGTGCATCTACAAAGTAATGGATAAATATATCTAAATATAATAAAACAGCACTACATGATTGCAAGATTATCTAGATAGAATTGTACTTATAGCCTTGGCTAAGTTTTACATATAATGTTGGATGAAGCAAATTAAATTACTTAAGGGAAGGTGTATGTCATAATATTTGAAGACTGCAAGTGTATATATATTATGCCTAATCTTGCCTGGGTATTATTTCTTTGTCAAAAATTAGTAGAACAGCTAAAAATATAAATTAATGTTATGTTCTCTTTGTGGAAATATTGGGAAAATAGAATTGGAGACAAATTTTAAAGGGGCATAAACTTTTCCATAATGTACTTCTTTAGAAAAATTTGACTAAAATATTACACAGTACCAGAGCGATAGCATAGCGGGTAGGGCATTTGACTTGCATGCAGCTGACCCGGGTTCAATTCCTTGGCCCCTCTTGGAGAGCCTGGCAAGCTACCGAGAGTATTCCACCCACATGGCAAAGCCTGGCAAGCTACCCGTGACGTATTCAATATGCCAAAAACAGTAACATCAAGTCTCAAAGGAGATGTTACTGGTGCCCGCTGGAGAAAATCGATGAACTACGGGAGGACAGTGCTACAGTGCATTATACAGTGATGAGATTTTTCCACTTCATTTTTATAAACATGAGTGTTTATCATCTAATTTCTCTGCCTTTCTCCATGATTGAATACTTAAATTTGAAAAATGAAACTGGTTCATCTGCTTCTCTCCATGATTAAATACTTCAATTTGAAAAATAAAACTGGTACATATAAAAATATAAATGTAAGTGTATTAACTGCATGATTCTAATGCTGAATATTGCTTCTAATGATAACTGTATTTTCATAGACAGTGCACATGTATGTTTTTGTAAAGGAATGTGTGTAATGTATGTGTAAACAGGTACACATACATTATAGACATCACTATATATATGTAATAAAACAAATATGTGTGTATATGTATGTGTGTACATATTCATTACATAGTTGAAGAATCCAACTGCAAAGGTATACAACTTCTGATTAGAAAGAATTCCTTGCAATTTCTGTTGATATTCCTAGGTTTTCCTTGATAGGTGTGGCACTGCGAAGTAGACTAGAAATGAGCACAAAGAGTATTTTAGTAGTATTTGTTAGGCATTTACTGTAGCACTGTAGCACTGTCCTCCCATTGTTCATCGATTTGCTCGAGCGAGCACCAGTAACATCTCACAACAAATTGCAAGACGTTACTGTTTTGGGCTATTAATGAAAAAATTATGTAAGTATGAGAATATTAGAAATTATAATTATTTATAATTAGAATATGGATATAGTATAAACTGAAAATTATAGTGTTGCTGTTTCTGCTCAAGATCATTTTTAATTAAGCATTTCTCTAAGTCCTGTAACTTACATAAAAAGACAAAATTTTCATAAATTAGTATCTTAAAAATCAAGTATAGCCAACTAATTTGTGTGGGTAATTTTAATATATTTTCAGAAAAATTAAAAGTATTGTTTCTTTCTTGCCTATTCTGAAGAATACAAGTGAACGACCAAATTGTGGAAGTGGATGGAATCAGCTTGGTGGGTGTGACACAGAATTTTGCTGCAACTGTTCTCAGAAACACCAAGGGCAATGTCAGGTAAATATGTGGTTTCAAAAATCTATATTTGTGCTTATTTTTTTAAATTTTATTTTTCTGCAATTATACCTATAACTAGATATAATTACAAAGAGAATTTTGTCTAAATACTAAAGTTTGCAATTGTGAATTATCTCATGTAATGTTTAAAATGAAAAGTTATAACATTCTAGAAATATATAGAGGGGCCAGAGCGATAGTACAGCAGGTAGGGCATTTGCCCTGCATGCAGCCGACCTGGATTCGATCCCTGGCATCCCATATGGTCACCTGAGCACTACCAGGAGTGATTCCTGAGTGCAGAGCCAGGAGTAACCCCTGAGCATCACTGGGTGTGACCCAAAAAGCCAAAAAAAAAAGAACTATATAGAGACATGATGTACTGTGTGATCAATATGATTAATTATTGAACTATATTAGTGTGCTGTAGTGCTAGTTTTATAAGAATTTCTAGGATGATAAAATTTCTAGGTATGTCTTCAGTAAATATAAATTTAGCACCCAAATTCTGACAGTAAATGCAGTTATACAGTAAATTGCACCGAAATAATTATACACATATGTCCAGTGGTGCATGTTATTTAGACAAATAGGCTGAAGAATTTGATGTTTAGTTGGTGCATTTTCAAAATTTCTTTATTGTCTAATATATAAACCAGAAAGAATCTTTGGTAAGTTGTAACTTTGCAACATAATAAGATAGGGGATACATTCTTTGAACCTTGAAAGTTTTATCCAACCATGGATTTTGAAATTGTAGCTTAGAAAGGAAATGAAAATGCAGTTCTAAAACAACTAAGGTCAAGTCTGAAATAACTTTTATTTGGCCTAAACTTACTTTTTGATATGGTATTTTTTTTATGTCTTATACTTTTCCATAAATTCTATAAAAGAACACATAAGGGATTTTATTTTGTATGTACAGTTATGAAAGTGTTTTAGTGTTATGTTCATCAAAGTGAAACTGCCAAGTATTCTGGAAATTGATGAGTCAATATAGCTATAAGGAAGGTAGAAAAATTTTATTGCTATATATATATAAATATATAGTATATATATAAAAATATATATATATTTGCTTTTTGGGTCACACCCGGTGATGCTCAGGGCGTACTCCTGGCTCATGCACTCAGGAATTACTCCTGGCGGTTCTCGGGGGACCATATGGGATGCTGGGAATCGAACCCTGGTTGGCCATGTTGGCTGCATGCAAAGCAAATGCCATACAGCCCTACCCACTATGCTATCGCTCCAGCCCCCTTTGCTGTATATTTTATAGAGGTATGTGTTTAAGTTTTAATATATTGACTTTATGTAATTGGAAAACTCCCTTTAACGTGGTAAGGTATTGTGGTTACAAAATTGACTAGTTCTTTAAAAAGTGTGTAAAACAATTGTGTCCCAGAAAATCAAATACCTCGGAATCAGCCTAAATAAAGAGGTAAAGGACCTCTATAATGAAAACTACAAAACGCTACTGCATGAAATAAAAGAGAACATGAGGAATTGGAAACATATCCCCTGCTCTTGGATAGGAAGAATTAACATCGTCGAAATGGCAATACTCCTGAAAGCATTATACAGATTCAATGCGATCCCTATAAGGATACCCATGAAATTCTTCAAAGAAATAGATCACGCACTCCTGAAATTCACATGGAACAACAAACGCCCGAGAATAGCTAAAGCAATTATTGGGAAAAAGATGTGGGGAGACATTACCCTCCCCAACCTCAAACTCTAATACAAAGCGGTAATAATTAAAATAGCATGGTACTGGAACAAGGCAGGGCCGCAGACCAATGGAACAGGGTGGAATATCCATACACACAACCCCAAATGTGTGAACATCTAATCTTTGATAAGGGAGCAAGAAATGTGAAATGGAACAAGGAAAGCCTCTTCAACAAATGGTGCTGGCATAAGTGGATAACCACATGCGAAAAAATGGTCTTAGACCTCGACCTAACACCATGCACAAAAGTCAGATTAAAATGGATTAAAGATCTCAACATCAGGTCAAAATCCATAAGGTACATTGAAGGCAAGGTCGGCAAAACCCTCCACGATATTGAGGCTAATGGTATCTTCAAAGACGATACTCCACTGACCAACCAAGTGGAAACAGATAAACAAATGGGACTATCTTAAATTAAGAAGCTTCTGCACCTCAAAAGATACAGTGTTGGGGCTGGAGAAATAGCACAGTGGGTAGGGCATTTGCCTTGCATGCAGCCGACCCAGGTTCGATTCCCAGTATCCCATATGGTCCCCTGAGCACCACCAGGAGTAACTCCTCAGTGCAGAGTCAGGAGTAACCCCTGTGCATCGCCAAGTGTGACCCAGAAGCAAAAAAAAAAAAAAAAGATACAGTGACCAGAATACGAAGACAATCGACAGAATGAGAAAGGATATTTACCCAATACCCATCTGATATGGGGTTGATATCTAGGATATACAAAGCACTGGTTGAACTCTACAAGAAGAAAACATGTAGCTCCATCCAAAAATGGGGTGATGAAATGAACAAAAAAATTCTCAAAGAAGAAATTTGAATGGCGAAAAGGCATATGAGAAAATGCTCTACATCACTAATCATCAGGGAGATGTAGATCAAAACAACAATGAGATATCATCTCACACCACAGACTGCTCCACATCCAAAAGAACAAAAGCAACCATTATTTGTGTGGATGTGGCGGAAAAGGGACACTTCTTCACTGCTGGTGGGAATGCCGACTGGTTCAGCCCTTTTGGAAAACAGTATGGACGATTCTCAAAAAATTAGAAATTGAGCTCCCATTTGACCCAGCAATATATCCCAGAGAGGCAAAAAAGTACAGTCTCAATGACATCTGCACTTCTCTGTTCATTGCTGCACTATTCACGATAGCCAAAATCTGGATAAAACCCGAGTGCCCAAGAACAGATGACTGGTTAAATAAACTTTGGTAAATCTACACAATGGAGTACTATTTAGCTGTTACAAAAGATGAAGTCATGAAATTTACATACAAGTGGTACTACATGGAAAGTACCATGCTAAGTGAAATGAGTCAGAAAGAGAGGGACAGACATAGATTGCATTCATCTGTGAAATATAAAGTAACAAAATAGGAGACTAACACCCAAGAATAGCCGAGATAAGTACAATGAGGTTCACTCCATGGCTTGGAGGCCAGCCGCACATGCTAGGGGAAAAGGCAGCCCAGATAGAGAAGGGAGCACCAAGTAAAGGGTGTTGGGAAGATCCTGCCAGGATGAGAAATGCATTCTTAAAGTAAACTATAGACTGAACATGATTGCCACTCAATGCCTCTTTTGCAAACGACAGCACCCAAAAGGAGAAAGAGAACAAAAGGGAATGCCCTGCCACAGGGGTGGGTTGGGATTGGGAGTTGGGGGTCGGTGGGAGTGATACTGGGAGCATTGGAGGTGGAGAATGGCCACTGGTGGAGGGATGGGTACTCAATCATTGTATAATTGAAATCCAAGCACAAAAATTTGTAAGTCTGCTACTGTACCTCATGGTGTTTCACTAATAAAAATTTTTTAAAAATAAAACAGATAATAATATTCAGTAATATTAAAATTTTAAATTTCCCCATTTCTTCAGATTAAATAATGTTAGAGGATGGGTCTTATACTAGTAGTTTGTTAGATTATGGGTTTGAACCTCATCACATCATTCCTCTACCCAGAACCTCTGCTGGGAGTATTCTGGTGGGAGTACTTCTGCTGGGAGTCATTTATTAAATGCTTCTGAAACAATCAAATGACCATTTTCTTCTCATAGTGGAACAAAACAAAAAAACAAACCTTGTTCTTTATTCTATAATATACGAAGCATTAACTTGAGTATTTCAAAACTGGTAAAGTTGCAGTAGCTAAACAAAAGTAAAATTTCTATAAAATGAGCAAAAATTGTCTAATCATAGGTTAATTAAAGATCTTTGAGGAAACAGAAACAAGGCATAAAAAGAGAGATAAGTGATAAATTAAGCTGCTTGAAAATGTAAAGCATGTTAAAAAATACTTTTTTTTTATAATAATAACAAGGTACAGACTGAATAGCACTGTACCACTGTCCTCCCATTGTTCACAGATTTGCTCGAGCGGGCACCAGTAACATCTCACAACAAATTGTGAGACTTGTTGTTACTGCTTTTAGCATATTGAATATGTCAGAGGTAGCTTGCCAGGCTTCGCCATGTGGGCGAGTTACTCTTGGTAGCTTGCTGGGCTCTCCAAGAGGGACAGAGGAATCAAACCTAGGCCAGCTGCCTGCAAGGAAAATGCCCTACCCGCTGTGCTATTGTTCCAGCCCACAGACTGACTATTTAAAATAATTGATCTATGAACTGCTATTTAAGGATCTGTGGTGGACCAATCAAGTTTGTGAAGTCCAGCACAGTCTGGTACTTGCAAGCATCACAACCTGCGTGTGCAGCCACCAGATAGAACCTTTGTGAGCCCCATGGTGATCCCCAGGAGCACTTCAACCAGAATGTGTGTGAACACCATGATGAAAGAGTAGAATGCTCACTGAGTGTGCTTGCAGCCCTTGGTCATCAGAGCAATAGCAAAGGGACAGAAGAGGAAGATAAAATTTAAAAGGTTCATGGTAGCAATCGTAAATTACTGAAAGAGTCAACTCTGGAAAAGGGATTAGGTGTTCTTTTCAGCTTCATAGAGCCCTAGTAGTACAGAAACACAATTGTTAGAGAAGAGTATAATAGAAGAGAAAAATAGAAGAGAAATTGTACTTTAAAAATTGCTAGCAAATGACACATTTGCTCCATATTGTCATTCACATTAAACTTTAAATACTTTTGTAAAATGTCTGCTACTTGTAATCAGTAACTATGCCATCATTATATTTTAAGAACCATCAAATAAGGGTTTTTTTTTGTGTGAGTGATGTTGACTCATTTAAGACTATAAAAGGTCAGAGCTTCATTGGAACTATACGATAAATTAATTTTCAACACACAATAGAA